CTTTTGTTTAATCGTACTGTGACTACTTTAGAGCATGGTATTTGGTGTTGCCTGATGTCATCTTCCTGGGCAATGGTCATTCATAGTTGGTCCTGGAACATGAGAAGTGTATTTTTTTTGTTCAAGAAGATCCTGTTGGTTGTCCCATATGTAGTTCCCATCAGTGAACCACAGGAGTATTTGGCCCCTTAGGCTTAGCTTGTGGGTCTGGATGAGGCCTGCAACAGGGAACAGTTGTGTTTGCTGATGTCCACTTACCTCAGTGGTGTCAGCTGTCATCTCTGTGAAACTCTACCCTTAGCCCAGGGGAATGACGACATGCCTTTCTTTCCTGGAACTTGGTCACTCTTGGCAGAAAGGATTGCTCTGGGGTCACACCCCAAACTGCATTGTTTGCAGGCTCTTGACAATTCTGTCTCATTCAGTAACATTTACTTTACCCTTTCATGGAGCATAGTTGCGTTTTCTCTTTCCTTAGGCTTGCAGTGTTTCTTCTCTCTGGAATACATGCCCCACCCTGACCCTCTGTCCCCCACCTCGGTCCCCAGCCCCAAATTGTCTCCCTCGTCTCTCTCATTTTGCAGATTACAATTTATAACACTGTCTTCCTCCTAGGGTACCTCTACTCACAAAGCCCTCTTGTCAGCTGTTCTTTACAGAGGAGTAAAAGGAAGGGAAGCCCATGTCAGAGGCAAGCTGAGAAGGGCTGAACCACCACAGCTCTTGATGAAGTTTCATATTTTCTTTTACAAGCCAGCTGAGCCCCTCAGAGAAGAGCACACTCCTGGCATTCTGAGAATTCTACACGTTTCACGTTGAGAGCACACACCCAATTCAACCCCTTGCGTGGTCTCTTGGTCAGTCTCTCACACCCAGGGCGATGCACTGAAGGGGAGATGAAGGACTCCTTGAGGACATTGGAAAGCTCTCCCTCAGAAGCAGCCTGGCACCAGCTCTAGGAGCTGACAGCAGAAAGCCTTTGAATGGGGCTAGCACTGTGGGTCTCAACCTATTTGGGGGTTGCAAATCAGATATCCTGCATATCAGTTATTTCCATTATAATTCATTACTGTAGGGAAACTACAGTAATGAATTAACAATGAAAATAAATTTTATGGTTGGGGTCACCAGAACATGAAGAAGTGTATTAAAAGGTGGTAGCAATAGGAGGATTGAGGACCATTGTTCTAGAGAGAAACTATACGTTTTAGCCCCCAGAACCAGAGACTATGCCTGACACATTTCAGCACCTTACAAGAGATAGCAGGGATGTAGAGGCTGTTTTTCCAAGCCTCTTTATTCTTTAAAACCAAACTCTTAATTTGCACAATGTACTGTTTGTTAGAAAGCCTTTTCAGGGTTGTTGTTATTCTAATAAAATGTAGTCCTAATGGGAAAATGTATTTAAATTACTTTTATGCTATTACTGGTCTTCCTATATTATTCATGTTTAATTGTACATCATCTCCCTCCAGGAACAAATAACTGAACTATGATGGGCTTGTATCAGGCTTCAGAAACAAAGCATGCATGATGCAGTTTCCACACCATGTGTGCTTGGTGCATAGTTGCAACACAAGAGGACCCGCTGTGTCTCAGGCTGCTTCTGAGCAGCCATTGCCTGTCAATAGCTGACCAACAGTGGGCCAATCAGATTGCCACTGTGCAAAAGCAAACAAACAAACAAACAAACAAACCAAGAAACCAAAAATCCCAGTAAACAAAAAACACTGTTACATTCCTGATGAACGAGATTTGAAAGGGCTAGCCCTTACAAATGTAGATCAGGAGATAGCCAGTGCAGCCTTTAAGTATGGCCGTACCAGGCTCTAAGGAACAGGAGACACCCCCCACCCCACCCCCCAAATTTTTCTGCCTGACACTGGGTTTGTGTTTAGACCAATTCTTATCTTACTTTAAAAAATGTATTTTCTTTGAATTATAATTACATTTTTCCTTTCCTTCCTTCCAACCCCCCTCATGGGATCTCCCCATCCAGGGTCACCCTCAAGGCCATGATCTCCTTTTCTTCCATTGTTTACACACACATGTTCATTCTGTGTAATGTTATCTGTGTGTATATGATCTTAGGACTGACCACTTGGTGCTGGATGACCACTTATGGGGCTGTTCCCTCAGGAAGACCTTTTCTCTGCTCTCAGCTGTCCCCAGTTGTCTGTAATTCATTTTCTAGGGTTGAGGCATCGTGAGCCTTTGCCCTCCCTATTGGTCTGTCTATTGGTGTCATTGTTGTTCAGGTCTTATTTAGTTTCCCTTTTTAATTGGAACCCAATTAAATGTTTAAAGACTTAGCTGCAAGGATAATTGGGGACTTCCACTTTATAGACCTTGGTCCACACTTGTTTGTTAGTTGCCATGCATGTCTAGTCCCAGAAAGGACTTGTGTCTTCACAGAACACCTCCACTGCAAAAGCAAGCCCGCAGCTTTGACTGTGCTTTCTCTATGCTGAGTACCGCCACACAAGGAGGCTCCCAGGGCGCACACACTGCTTTCCCAGTTCAGCTCCTTTATAAGGTGTGTTTCCAAGCCTCCTTTTGCTTCCTGTTCTCAAGCTCCTGGCTAACAAGACCCTTATTACCATTTCATAGAAGGAAGAGATGCTAACATGCCTTCTTAAGATCAGAGTCCACATAAATTGGAACTGGAGATGGGAGTGTTAGTGAATGGCTTGGGACAGACTCAGAGGATGGGTTGCTCATCATGAAGCTAGCACTGCCGTGGCCAGCGTTATAGCCCAAGTGGTCCAGCACACTTGACTTGGACAGTGGAGAAGGTATGCAGCCTCTGAGCTGTGTCCTGTCTACTAAACTGATTAGACTGAGGTTTCTCGGCTCCCTTCAGCATCCTACCTAGTTCTTGCAGGGATGGAACGTAAGGGCATGTGACAAACTGCAATTGGAGTTGAGGTACAATTTCGTATTTATCATGGAGGATGCAGGAAGACCTTTTAAAACACCTATCTTGGCTACCTCACAAACTGTCTTTAACAAGTAGTTACTATTTTTTTTCTCAAGTGGCATAATAGAAACTTCCCTTTTCGAACTGTGTTCCTGTTTTGACCCTGTTTTTTGAAATTACTTATTATCAAAAGGAAATATTCACAGAAGCTTGGCATGCTGTTGTTCTCCGGGTAACTGTTCGTCAGCAGCTGCCTGTGAGGGTTACTGTGCTCTTCTGATGTCTCTCATTACAGAGTAATAAGGCCACTTAGCAGGTTTCTGAAGTACAGGTTGGGATATAAAAGGTTTCTTTTGAAGGTTCTTCTCTGGGGTACAGAGTGGTAAGTGTCTGCTTTACGGAGATAACCATTGGGTAATTTGTAAGTGCTGGACTCTGAATGATGTGTCTCCTGATTTTAGTGACTCTTGGGCAGGAACAACACATAAGATCCTATATCCAATTCCACAGCTTCTTTCCTGTGAACATGTTCCTTTGTTTATAGCACCTGTAGCACTGTTGTGAGACTCTTGGTTTCTGTGGCTGGGAGGGGACAAAAGCCAGACCTTTGCTCTGGGAATTGGCAGACCATATCGGGCGGCGCATTAGTAACTTGGTCTAACTTCCACCACATACTGGTTAGGCTAGCTTCATTTTATTGAGTTGTTTGTATATCTGTAGAGAGGAAATGAAACTCCCTTTGGCAGTCTCCTTTCTTCCTTCTTCCTTCTTCCTCTTTCTCTGCCTGTTACCTTCATAGAGTCTTGCTTAGTAATAGGAAGACCCTTTCCCTGCTTGTCTGTCAGAACAACTTCCCTGACCTGTAGTCTCTGGAGACTTTGCCATTGACAGCCCACTAGCCGAAGTGCTTTCATCACCAACATGACAGTATCTTCATAAATAGTATTAGCTATCAGCCAACTACCATTTCCTTTTTGTGACCTTAAAATGTTTTATTTTGATCCAGTTATAGGGATTCTCATTCTCCCTGAATAATAATGATCTCAAGTAGCTTTGCCTCCAGGCAGAACCAATGTGTGGTGGTCAAAGTTAGAGTGTTTGTTTTTTCTGTTTCTGTGTATGAGAGTAATTCAAATGTGCATTATTTTTAAAATGCAGTTTATTTAATGTATTTATTTTGAGACAGGGCCTCAGTTGGTCAGGTTGGTCTTGAACTCACTCTGTTGCCCAGGCTGACCCCAGACTCAACACTTCTACTTCATTTCCTGAGTGTTGGATTAAAAATAAGCGTGTGTCCTGGACTTGCCTGCCATTTTTCTTTTTTCATGAAAGATATCATTTTCTTTTTTATTCAGTACATTGACTCACATGTATGTATTTTGTATGTTATTACACGCACATGATGAAAGGATCATGCTTTATTTAGTTGAGATAACCTTTGAGGAAATGGGATGAAGCCTTTTGTTCAGTGGGTTCATGGCTCTGTGCAGGAGTTTTGATCACACACCTCTGTGTGCCCCTTACTTACCTCACTTAGCTGCATTTGATTGTATTGCGATTAAAAGGAAAACACAAACAGCTTGCTATCCTTTTATGCCAGAGTTCTAATCACTATGGGTTGAAAACTGCTCTCCCACTGTATCTATTTCTATAGTAAGCTAGCAGTTAATCTAAATGAAAGGGGGATGTGCCATTAAGGTACAGGATTGGGAATCTGAGGATGTACCCTCAGGTGGTCCTGGTGCACAGCCTTTCCTAGCTCCAGGCATGGGCTTGCTCTGCTTGTTGCCCAATTGCAGGTGTATGTCTCCACCAGGAAAACCAAGAGGAAGCTGCCAGGCGGGAAAGAAAATCTATTTCTTACTGGACAGATAATGGAGGGTAGTAATGACCAGTGGACTGTTTGTTAGGAGGGGTAGTAATGAAGTGGACATATAGTAGGGTTGTAATGGCCTTGTCTCTTTTTATTATTATTATTATTATTATTATTATTATTATTCATTATTATTATAAGCAGCTTATTATAAGAAGCTTTAATTATGTACTGTATATGTACTTTAATTTACTTATTTTCTCCTAGACTGGAAGAAAGACTGATGAAGAAAAGTAACAGCATGGTTGAGGTAAATGGATGTTTCATTCTTTTGTGCTCTAGTGTCTATTTTCTGTCTTCAGAGAAATCTTAAGTAATGATCATGGCCAACTTGCATATATAAAGATTATAGAGATTTAGCAGTAAACGCATTCCACTTAATTAATTTAGTTGTAAATGTATATTGAACATGCACTTACTTATTCAAAATAGAACGTAAGTATTACTTTTGTCTAGCCCAGAGTAATTTTCTTCCAGGTATTTAATGACATGAATCACATCAGACTTTCCATTGTGAGAATTGTGTCTCAGATTGTTGGCTGCCCTTCTCACTGCATGGTATAACAGGTTAGTTGTTTGTCGTCCAGACTTTTTGGGTTTTTTGTATGGTGCTGGCCCCCAAAACTTGAATCCAAACTGCAAACGTCTGTTTGTGTAATGTCAGGAGAGTTGCTGGCTTCATTGAGCATTGAGGGCCTTCATTGGGAGCAGTTTCTGTAACTGCTTTTGTGTGCTTAGTATTTCTTCCCTCTTGTTTCCTTGCTCATTTTACTTTTCAAGCAGTTGCGTACACATTGGTGTCTTAGTTAGGGTCACTGTGCTGTGATAAAACTCCATAACCAAAGCAACTTGGTGAGGAATGAGTTTATCTCAGCTTACACTTCCATGTCACTGTTCATAGTCTAGGGAAGTCAGGACAGGAACGCAAACAGGGCAGGATTCTGGAGGCAGGACCTGATGCTTAGGCCATGGAGAGGTGATGCTTACTTGATTGCTTTCCATGGCTTGTTCAGCTTGCTTTCTTATAGAACCCAGGACCACCAGCCTAGAGATGGCCCCACCCACTGTGAGCTGGCCTCTCTCTCATCAGTCAGTAATTAAGAATGTGCTTTCCAGGCTTACCTAGAGTCTGATCTTATGAAGGCATTTTCTTATTTAAGGTTCCTTCCTCTGAGATCACGTTAGCTTATGTCAAGTTGATATAAACTGTCCAGCACAATTGGTAAATAGTTTCCTGTGGCCCCTTTGAATAAAGGTAGACTCTTTCAGCTCTTTTGGTTGTATTTTCTGGAATTCATGTATCTGTTTTAAAACATAGAAAATGCTTTAAGTGTCATTTTCTTTAAAAAAAAAATTTAGATTTCTGTCTTACTTCCTGTTGAAGACTTAAAGATGACCCTTGGCTGTTAGGGTTCACTTTCCCTTCCTGTTTCTCTATGTCCACCCACTTTTTCTTTTCTTTCTCTTCTTCTGCCACCTTCTTTTATCCTTTTCTTCCATTAGAGGTGAGGAGGGACTGTAGGCTCACACTGGCCTCAAACTCAAGAGTCCTTATCCCTCAGCCTCTAGGATTATTAGATATGTATCATTATGCCCAGATCTCCATTTGTCTTAATGCAATCATGTTATAGATTGCATTTAAATACTTTTGCCAAGTTATGACCATACATAGTTTTGACTGAACTCTGTGATGTTTGATGACATGGTCCCAGCCATTCTGAATTTCTGAAATCCTTGACCGAGCACTCCCCTCCACTTTCCCTCTCTCCTTTCCCTCTTTTCTCCCTCCTCTCCCTTTCCCTCCCTCTTTCCCTCCTTCCCTCTCTCCCTCCACCCCTCTCTTTCTCTGACTTTGGAGTTTTTCACTTAGCCATTCAGTCTGATGAGTCTTCTGTGGATCCCCCATTTCCTTCACTACGCGATTCTGACCAGCATGCTTCTCTGCCTGTCCTTTTTGATTTCTCAGAGCTTGGTGATTACATTTAGATAATTCAGGATAATCTCCCCATTCCCCTTTTATTGTGATTAAAAGAAACAATCACATCCTTTACCTCTATTGATCATGTTTAATATGAGATAGGTAATGTTAATATGCATCTTGTTTCATAAGAGGTCCAGAGACTTTTTTCCTCTTGGTAAATTATAACTTAACTGTGGAGTAACAGGTCTTTCTCTCTTTTCCCAGCCCCTTTCTCTTTAAGTCTTATTAATGGAATCTGCTGAGTTTCTTTGAGGTGGCTTGCTCTCTAATAACCTGACCATTCATGCATGTAGCAGCACGTAATAGAATCTTCTTTTTAAGGATTGAATACTATTCCCTTGGTTATACAACCAGGCATTCCTTATCCATTTATTTAGTAGTGGACATAGAATATGGTGACTTCTATTTTTGGCTATTGTTAAAATAGCCACAGTAAATATAGGTAAGCAAATATCTCTTCAAAACCCTGTTTTCAGTCCTTTCTGATATATCCCATAAATGGAATTACTAGATTATATGGTAGTTTTCTGTTTAATGTTTTTTGAGGAATTATATGTGTGTTCTGTATACTAGTTGTAATATTTTACATTTCTAAGAGTTTACAAGGGTTCCAGTTTCTCCACATTCTTGTCTGAAGTGAGAAATTTGGTTTCTTTAAAGATACAGCAATATAAGAATGTTGTTTTAATCCCAGGCATGGAATGTGTGGCTGCTTCAGACTGCCCACAACAGCTATGATTTGCCTCATGCTCTAGCAGGGGCATGGTTTTGACAACTGCAGATAGTTTTTATGAGTGTATGACTTATGGAATACTGGGAACTTTTCAGGGGATATATAGTTGCTAGAGACCTGATAAAGGAGCTGGCTGCTGGTTGGCTGGTGGTGATTGGATGCTATTGGTGTGGTTCGTTGCCGTTTGTCAAGTAAGCAGATACAAAGAGATAAAAAGAAATGAGATATCCTCATATTGAAGATCAAACTTCCCCCAAGGAACTCAGTGCCCCTAATCAGCAGGAAGTAATCTATCAGCATGGCCGTCCCCTTTTCCTTCTAGCCTTCTTTCTGTCCTACCTGGTGTTAGGGGGCTGAAAGGGAAGAAGAAGAGGGGTGTAGAAAGGTGAAAGAAAAAGCAATCCAGGGAACAGTACAAAAGTCAGGTGACACTTGTCATCACTTGTCCGGTTTTGTTAATGGCCATTCTTATGTGTGGGAGGGCGTGTATCTGCCTGTGCTTTTGTCTTGCTTCTCTTGATGCTTAGTGATGAACATCCATTCATGTATAGTTGACCATTTGCTTATCACTCAAGGAGAGTCTGTGCAAGTGCGTTGTGCATTGCAGATTTTTGGTTATTTGGGGTTTTGGTGTTGCATGCTAAGAGATCTTTACATGTGGCTGTCCATTCCTTTCAGATGTGTGGTTTGCAAATGCAGTTCATCATTCACTCTATTGATTGGTCCCTTGCCATTTAATCCTGGTATGCTTTGCTTTTGTTGCCTGGGCTCTTGGGGTCATATCCATGAACTCCAATGGCAAATGGCTTGCCATGAAGTTTTGTGCTTGCATTCTCTCCTAGGAATTTTAGTTTCAAATTTTACTTTTTACAGCTCGAATCCATTTTGACTTAATTTTGTAAATGATAGAAGGTAAGAATCCAGACATTCTCTCTGTAGATTTTTAGGCTGGCTGCTCTTTTGGTCTCCTGTCCTCAGTCCCGAGGGAACCCTCGATGGCTGTACCTCGGCTCCTCAGTCTCTATTGTCACTCTGCCCTACCAGCATCCACAGCACAATGCCCCTGGTGTCCCTCATCTTCTGTGGCATGGCTTCCGGGGCTTCTGACTGTATGGATTGTCACTATCTTGATACACTGTCATTTTGATGGAGACCTGGAGGGAAGGGGTCAGCTGTAACAGCCACCTACAATCTCAAACTATGGCTTTTAAAAGTCACATTTGAAAGTCTTAAAAGAGCTACTCCAGAAATAACTTACAAATCCACTTCTTTTCCATCTATTTTATTTACTTATTTTGTACTTCATCTTGTGGTGCTGGGAACTGAGTCCCAGGACCTTAGGCATGCCTGGCAGTGCTCTGTCCTGCTGCTTCATCCCCAGCCTCTCTGCTTCTTTTTGGTAACCTTGACAGGTGACTGGTGCACTAGTACTCGGAGCAAACACTAGCAAACTTACTCTCCAAGTAGTATTTCAATATCAAGGTAAACTGAGACTTCTGTCATATAAAGCAAGGTGAGGCTTGGTGGAAATTTGAATGTACTATTTCCTTTTTGTTGAGACAAATCCATGGGACTTTGGATTTATAGGTTGTTTGTTGCTTTTATTTAGAGGTGGTATGGTTTAATATCATGTAAATGGATGTCTCTACATTACCACGAAGCTTTAACTGAATACTTTTACAGTGCCAAGAGGGGTCTAGGTTTTAAAATTTTTGTCTCGTATAGTTAGTTGAGATGGCTGCTTTTTTTTTGGTGAGTGTTTTTAGTTATTGCAGGTGGAACATGATTTCTTTTTTCTTTGTCTTTTTTCTTTTTTCTTCTTCTTTTTTTTTTTTTTTTGTATTGCCTTTGCTGCCCTGGAACTTGCTATGCACAGCAAGCTGGCCTTGAACTTAAAGAAATCTACCTGTCTCTTTCCCACAAGTCCTGGGAGTAAAGGTATACTCTGCCATGTTGGGCCAAATACAGTCTCTTAAAAGACCATACAAGTATCCAAAGTGGAGCTTCTTGGTCCTTTGAGCTGTTTATTCACAGTACGTGTGGGTGTGATTCGGCAGTCCCACGCCTGCCTAGTATCTGTGAAGCTCTGGATTCTAGCTCCTGCACCACAGAGAGGAGGGGAGAGTTAAGCCTTGTTGCTGTGTTCAGGAATGGCTTCTTGATAATTTGAGATTGAGGCTTAGAATGGCCTTGAGTTTCACTGTAGGTTTTAGGTGAGCCTCAAAAAGATTGAGAGCCTTATAGATCATAGAATAGGAGGAAAAAGGGAAGAGGGAGGCTGAGTGTTTCAGTGACTGTGCTGTGGCTGTGCAGACCATGACTAAGGCAACTCATAAAAGAAAGCATTTGCTTGGGGCTTGCTTACAGTTTCTGGGAACATGTGTAGGTAGGCAGACATGACTGCTGAAATGGTAGCTGACAGCTTACATTTTTTTCTTCAAGTTGGAGGCAGATTTAGAGAGACTGGGCCTGGCATGGGCTCTTGAAACCAACCACAAAGTACACCCTTGTGACACAGCTCCAACAAGGCCACACC